AGTATAATAGTATTATTGATAAACTTTTTTAATTATATTTATAATTTTCTTAATTTTCTATTTATAGATATCTATTGTATCTCGGGTGAAGGATTTAAGCTATATACATAATCAGGCTCTCCTTTTGGAAGAAAAAGTAAAGGAAAAACGTAATGAACATTAAAATTAAAAAGATTGTTACAAAATAAATTTTTTTGTGCACTTAAAAAATATTACGGATCGTTGATCGTTCGATGATTGCGCTGAACAATGATGATACCTGACTGTGGCTCGTGGCTGCGTATCAAGACAGGTCTTACGCGCATACCCGTATATTTTTTTACATTAGTAAAAAGCCTAAATATTATTTCTTTAATCTGGAAAGATTCACTTTCGATATATTATGACCCGATCTTTTGATTGTTCATACCATTTTCCTAATTAGAGTTTCCACTTAACTTAAAAAATTGATTTAAATAATAAAATGCACTTCTAACCTAAAAAATGGTTTTTTTATAAAAAGTCAAGGCCACGATCGGAAAGAGGAGTTAAATATACATTGATTCTATATTTTTTCTATATTTTTTATTATCATGGAGCGAGTTCAGTATGTCATATAAAAAGAAAATAGTTCACTCGATTAAGTTAAGAACACGTGCGAAGCATTTTTATCTCAAACAAAGTCAGAAAAAATTATCCTACACAGATATTTTAGTCTTAAAAGAGCAAAAAAAAAAATTTCAAAAATTAGTCCCTTGGAAGATTGAAGCCCTTACATTGAAAAAAAAGACGATTTATAATACGTGAGCATACGCTTAATAACATAGAATTAATCTTATTCCTGGAAAACTAATAACTTCGAAAGCAAAAGAATATACTGTTCGGATTTTAGTTAAAAACTTTCATAGTTAATTTCATCTGTCAAGCCATGAGAGTGTCATCAATGAAATTAGGCAATTCTATTATATGGTTTGTTCAAGACAGGGAATAAGAAGTCTGACAAACGAATGTATTTTACGTAAGATTCTTTGTGCAAAAGCGACAAATCCAAAAATGACAGAGTTACCGTTATCTTGATGAGAATATCACATAGGGCCATTCACTTACTGTGGTCTTAACTATTTTGGTCCAATTAAAGTAGCAATAGACAAAATAAAAGAGAAATGATATGGTGTATTATTTACGTGTATGACTACCCTGGCTATTCACATTAAGTTGGCTAATAGTGTGAACACAGATTCTGCCATTATTGCTCTGAAACGTTTTAAGGCAAGTAGAGAAAGACCATTGATTTTTACAGCAATATTGGAAAAAGTAGTCAAGGTATGAATAGCTAGTTGAAAAACGCAATAAAAAAAAAGTTTTATCAAGTCACCGAATCTGTTTCTCAGAAAAAATTTATATATATATATANATCTCCATGGTTATCAGATTTTTTTGGAACAATCTAGAGCAATGAATTATACAGTGATGACGAAGGCTGTATTATTTTATCACTAAATTTTTTTACTACGTGCTTTTTTAAAACTTTTTTATCTACTGGTGGGTGACGATATTGTTAGCTGTTAATAAGGATATTCTTTTCTGTCGGGATTGCATGTGCAACAAGGTTAGTGCAGAGTGAAGGGTCTCCTGGTGACAAGAAAATTACTGAAAATTTGAACATTGGTTAATAAATTTGGACTTGTTTTTCCAGGATCATATAACTGGTACGCACAAGTCTTTTCAGTTTTCTTATTCTATCTTAGTTTTTTTTAATAACTGATCTTTTGTATTTGCTTCTAGTATCGTGGTCAAGTTCAGGTGCAATGAACTCGGAGGGTAGTATTCCTCTAGGATATATTTTAATCATACCATCATCCACCTTATTGTTTATTGACATAATATAACATTGATTGTTCTTACTTATTACTTTTATTCCTCCTTGATACACATCAATATTTCGCTCATTGACTCGTGATAAGTATCATTCAGTTAAATTGGCATTAATTAAATTAATTCTCACTATTTAACGTATTTTAGCCTTACTCGTATACTTCGCTTATATGTTGGTAATTCTTTGTTCTTTATTAAGGCAATGTTGTTTCACACTACGAGATTTTTTAGTCTGTTCAATTGTATGCCACTGCAGCGTATGTTGGTCGTCTAATTAATTTTTTTTACTTTGTATGCCACATTCATTAGTTTTAAAATTAGTAGGCTTCATAAAATTATCACTCCTCTGCCCGAATAATTTATATACATATTTTTAATGTGATGAATAGAAATTTTATGTATTTATGGCTACCATCTTCAATTAACAATTTTGAGTTTCTTAACTCTGTCACTGTAATTAATAACCATGAAAAAATGCATGCAGATTCTTAGAGAAAAAGTAAAAAATTGTATTAAACATCTTGATTTAAATTTTGAATTCAGTGTTTTTTTTTTTAAGTTTGTATCCCAAATAAAGCAGTGGCATCCTTACACGTATTTTTTCAAGAGTAATCATAATTAATTTTTAAAAAATTTCGTGTAGGCCAAAGCTTGTGGAAAAAAATGATATTGTGTCCGTTAAAACGTCATTTGAACGGCTCCTAACGATAATATTAGGGTGCCACGATCAGGCATAACCCAATTCCAGCATGCCCGCTCTACTCCCAACACAGTTTCTACAATAAGAGACAAATCGCTCAGGCGTTAGGCTACCATAATCCAGGGTGCCAACTACTGTCACTGTGGCTTCTAACGTCTATGACCAGCTACTGCTATGTCAGGACGCTGCCCATTCCGAGGAAGCTTGCAGTTCTGCTGCCAAATTTTAAACACTAACTACCAACTTTCATTAATCCCTTGTTCGTCTCTTGCAAAACACTTCTAATCTATTGTTCCTATCATTATGATGCCTTACTGTTGAGGTGTGCTAAGAACTACTTTTTTTTCTACTATAAAAACGAGATAGCTTAAAACGAACTCATTTGTCTCCAATAATAATAAAGATGATAATAACAACAATTATTATAATGATAATGATGATGATGATGATGATGATGATGATGATGATGATGATGATGATGATGATGATGATGATGATGATGGAGCGAGTTCAAAATCAGAGATTTTGTGTAAAAAGTGCCGTGCACGCCCTTACTGGTTCGTTTTCAATGGATGCACTCATGTATTCTCATAGCAAACAAATGTTGTACAAATCACTGCTTAGCTACTTTTCCTGTTATAAAAATTAAAAAAAAAGTTTTTCTTAAGAAATCAACGCCTTTATCTAAGTTAAGCCTTACGCTGAGCAAGAAAATTAATTATTCTAATTTGGCACAATGGACATGTGTACTGTTTATAAAGAACATTATTTTAAACTAAAATTTTTCGATAAAAGCAGTAAAAGCTCATTTTTTGCAGGTATATTTCTTATGGATCTGTCCATCTCATAAGCATTTCGAATGGTTTATTGATGTTTTAAGAGATGTCGAAAGAAAAGATGTTACAGATGTTCTTGAAATTCATATATTCATTACACAATTTTTTCACAAGTTTGATTTGCGGACAACAATGCTTGTAAGTCAAATGTATAATTATCTGACTCCCTAGTGGTTTGCCTATTCTTGCAGACACATTTATAACCTTACCTATTTTTGTTTATTTTCAGTATATTTGTGAAAATCATTTTCATAGAGTATCAAAAACTAGTATATTTACAGGTTTAAAGGCAATCAATCATTTTGGAAGGCCAGATATGACCTCATTTTTAAAATTTGTACAGAAAAAGCACAGCTATGTAAGTACGTTTCTGCAGTTACTAGAAGTACTACACATTTGTGTTATACTTGGTTTGTAAACAATTTTAGATAAGAGTTAAGGGCGTTCCGTAAATTAGCAGAGATTCTGACGTCATCGACAGTTTTACATTAAGAAGTTCTTACTTATTATTAATTCATAGCTATTTTTATGCAAAATGGTAAGAAAATGCAGAAATCTAATACTTTGGTACTCCTTCACAATTACTTCGTGCTATAAAAGCTTTAATTTTCAATGCATGATGATGAATTCAGAGCTAAATCAGTTGTCAAAAAACAAACGTTGCACCTTTTCTTGTTATTTTAGACCTAATTATTTAAACAACTAATGATAAATAAAAATATGTGATGTTGAGGCTGTTGATGAGGTAGAAATGTCCGCTTAGTCACTAAATGCTTTTAAAGAAATTAAGCATAAATTAAAAAAGACAGTTTTGACATGAAACGCCCTCTGAACTATTTACGTTCCTATTATATCAATGTCTTCCAAATAAACTAGAAAATCAAAGTTTTATTTAAATGCTGCAATTTTTTACTAACACTTAACTATTTAATTTTACAACAAATCACAAAAAAAAAAGAAATTAATGAAAATTGTTTTGTTGGTATTAAAACTATTTTTATACGGAGGGCTTTCACAATTAGCGAGGTGATAAATAAATAAGTATTTTCACTTTTTTTAAAATTAGTTTTGAGTTTTAATTCAATTGATAAAATTAAACAATAATTTAATTAGTAGTAACTTTAAAAAATATGCTTAAAGCTGTCGTAATCGGCCATTTGTTGGTTTAGATGGCCTCATGATATATTAAAAAAGTCGGATGACCTGCACAAAAAAATAATAACTATAAAAACAGTAATATCTCATTTCAAAAACTTATAAACAATAGTTTATTGAATAACTAAGTGTCATAATAAATAAAATAATATTTTTAGGTAAGCAAAATAGGAGTTTTCAGCTGTGGACCACGTCCACTGACCAAGAGCGTCATGTCAGCCTGTGACGAGGTGAACAAGGGCCGGCAGCTACCTTACTTCATTCATCACTTTGAAAACTTTGGCTAAGCTACGTTCAAGGATAGTTTAATTAATACCGTTCTGTAGTAGATCTAGATGCTCTGCTAGTGACTGCATTCTAGCTCGAAATACAGAAAAGACATGTTCTACAATAATGTATGAATACCTATTTCCTGTTGTCCTTCTGCTGTTGGATCTATTGCATACTGTCACCTAAAAGTAGCATAAAATTTAAGAAATCTTTGCACTCCATTAATCTAAAGTATTAAATACTGGAATAGATATACTAAGCTAAATCAGTCACATTTTTGTTAACTAATTAACTAAGAAGTTTTACATAGTTAATCAGCAGACTTATTATTTTTATTAGATGTTTGTCCTAAAGACCACGTATAGAATTGTCAAGCATCAACCTAATATCACCATTAGTATAAAAAGTATAATAGTATTATTGATAAATTAAATAAGTTCTTGGAAACTGGCTATGACAATAAAAAAAATTTAAACACTAGTTTTCCAACAAAAAATTTAGTGAAAAAATAAGCATTCTTCAACTTTGGTTTATAAAAGCAGCAGCGTGGAGAGCCTCTGCAAAAGGCCAAACCCACTTCCTGCATTCAGTATCAAAAGATTTCAAGCGAGTGCGTTTATAATGAAAATGTACAACAAAACTAACTATATCTTAAGGACCAAGTAGAATCAGTTAATGTCGATTTTTGAAACATAATAATGCTTTGAATAACATTAAGATTGCAGATGTAAGCAACATTCTGTAAACAAACTAACCACTTCCTGAATCGTCATTAATTGCTGGAGATTACTAACAATTGTTGCCGAGGTTGTTTTTTTTTTTTTTTTTAGTGTCAAAGCTGTGGTATGCATTTTTTCCCTTAAATGTAGCATAAACATTTATTTACGTCGAAGAAAAATTAACAGAACTACTTATAGAAAGAACGGCCTACTCATTTTAAACATGTCTTAGCATTTACAAAATAAGCTAAGTTGCAAAAGGCTTTGTTATTTATTTAGTCTTTTACTATATTACTGTATTCAGATTACTGTAAGCGTGTACAGTTATTGATGTTACATTTTAATAATTGAAACTGGATCCTATAACTTCTACATTTAAAAATACAAAAGAGCAGCGGTAAGTAAAATCAAGTAACTAATAACAAGTAGGAAGATACTTATGTTATTGGCAGGAAATTGCAAGTATGCTAAATCTTAATATTATTAACAGTAACGGTATATTGGAAGATTAATTATCAATTTTTGTTACTAAATATCTAAGATACTGCTTGTTCTTATGTACATTTCTTATTTTCAGTACACTTGCTTGAAATTTATAGAGCCTGGTTGCGGAGTATGGGTGGATTTTCTGCAGTGGCTATCTGCCCTCTTAATCCTACGAACTTAAGTCAAAAATGGAATAAACGGCAATATAGTAAAATGTATAGTAAATTTTGACAGAGTAAGTTTTGTTTGAAAAACAGGCCTATCTTAGCTAACAACTGTTTGGGGCCGTTTTTCTAGAGGCATTTTTTCATCTGGTTAGCAGTTTGCGACAACTTTTTATCTCATCATGCTAAAATTTTGTATTTATGTAAGAGACAATAAACTCTTCTTCTGTGTAAACTTGAGTTTATTTTGGCCCAAGGTAGCTTATTTTGTTTATGCCTGAATTGCTCATTTTTTTGTAATATACATTATAACGTGTGATTTTTTGACGTTTTTGAGCCACGAAAACTCTGTTTCAAAAGTTTTTATTATTTTTTAGAGACTTCGCTTGACATTTGTAGTTATTAGAAAGAAGCTTAATATTGTATAATTTTAGTTAACAAGTATTAAAATTTTTTTGTCATCGTCAGAGATTCTTAGTCAGAAAAACTACTTCTATTAATCTAATTTTACGTAACAAACATAACCATTTAAATCTCAATTAGTGCATGCAACAAAAATATTATGCATCATTATTAGAGCAATGAAAAAAATGTAAATTGTTTTTTTGATAAGGTTCTGTACTAGTTTCCTGTAAAACAAGGTACTACCTTGATCTGACACTAAGATATAAACTATCTTAATTTAGTGTTAAAGGCTCTTTTTACCACCAGGACATTAATTTATCTCAGTTTAATTAAAAAAATATGCCATCATAGTAAAGCAAAGAAAATGATTGCAGATCTGCTGAAAAAGTCAATTTTTCACATTTTTTAAGTAGACAAAAAACACATCATTAGGTATGTATTAGTTGTTTGCTTGCTACTTCCTCGCGGTAAGAAATAAATCATTTGTTTTCAAAAGATAACTCTTTTTCTAATCCAACATATAGATTTTTTCTATGCCAAAGTAGTACTTATAAATTGTAAATCCCAGACACGATCATTCTTAGCGAGAAAATGTTCTTTCTTGCCTTATAGTCAGTTGTATATAAATATAACAAGAATGCTGTAAGCTACATTTATTTGTGGAATATTAAAACACTTACAAGATTTTGAATAAATAATTTTATGGTTTAAAAAATAGTTGTAGTACGGGTAAGTTTAAAGATGTTAATAACGAAAATAGTCTCAGCTAACGTTAATTAAGAGTTATTTTTAACAGTCACTACGTTATTCCTTCATGTAAGCGCAATGATGTTTTTTGTTCTTTAGCCGTATCATTTGTGTTAGAATTATAATTGGACTATTTGAAACGGAGTGCTACTAGATGATCCGATGGTCTTCAACTTGTCAACTTTCACGTATGTATCAGGAATGCGTATGCATACGCGTATGGATATGAGGATTGTTATAGTTAAGTAGTTGTAATTTTCATTGTCTACTAATTTTGTTTGTATTAAAACAATACTTTTTTCTCAATTGTTTTAAATTAATTATACGTTTTCTTATAAGCTAAGAGTAAAAGGAAAGTCAAATCTTAAAGATCGAGGTAGGGAGTGGCTGCTGCTCTAATGCCATTTATCTCTCCCCGTCACAGTGTTTGGTAAAGAAATCCAACATGAATGTTTTCCTGATATGGATGCGTCTGCATTTTTTGTTTATGCTTTTCGTTTTTCTATTGCATTGCTAAGCAAAAATGTTTGTTTAGAAACAATCGTGATGGTTTTTCCAGAATCCGTTTAACAATTTAAAAGATCGATTGCCCTTGTAACTTTTAAAAATAATAAAGTTGAGTTGATAAAACGTATAAATAAGAGTTTCTATTATTTGTTAGTAAGAATTTTGAAATACTTCTGTGATTCTGCCAATATTTTTTTATAAATTCTGCGAAAATAAACTGAAAAGTTAATGGATGAGCAAACTCCATTGCGAAAATGTTTGCTATTGGCAAACAAAATTGTCGCTCTGTTGTTGAAATTCTTGATCGTCAGGAAATGGTTTCGTTGACAAGCTGCCATCATGTTGTCACACTGACCAAGTAAAATGTCAAGCTGTAACAACCAAGTGCACCTCAAATGTCGATTCTGTGCATCACTCTTAGAAGTCCACATTACAATGTACCACTAACTAATTTTTGATATGACTTGAATAGTAAAAAAGTGGAGTAAAAATGTCCAATGAAATGTTTAAAACAAACCTTTTTGTGTCCTTTCTAGAACTTAGTTTAATTTTGTTTTAAAAGTTGTTTATCACGAATGTAGTGTCAATCTCACAACATAAGAGGTTCTGAAAAATTGTTGGGTTGCTTGCTAATTACCAATATATGCTTACCTAGAGGGACATTTAAATGATAATTATTACCAAGAAGTACTTTAGTAGCTAATTGCTAATGCTTGATTACCCGAAGATTCATTTTTTTAATTAACTATACTTAAAAGCAGCTATGTTTATCACTTAATTTAATTCGTCTAAGGTCATATTTTACTAACAAATAATACGAACAAAAGCAATTAATTGGTAACCACCAACAATGGCTTTTCTACTGAAAAATTTCATTGACAAATAACACAAGGAACCATTAGTTTTCTAGAAGATAGTGATCGATTGACTGATAATACATTTTGTTATTTATTAATGCATTTTGAGATTTAAGTAATAGCTGATGATAAAAAATGAAAATAATAACTCAAGTGGTAATGCTATCAAGTATTGATTAGAATAAATAACAATCGATGTTTCAGCCTGTACACTTATAAAGATAACAAGGATATGACTTGATAGCATTACCACTTGGGTCATTATTTTTAACGTTATTTATTCATGATAAAAAAAAATTTATGTAGTCAATCACATATCCTTTAAAGTCTAAGGGCTCATTTTATAATTAAATTAAAATTAAAAATAGTCAGGTTGTTGTTGTTAACCACTCATGCTTGCTGGCTAAAGCTTACATTTCATAATTAACAATATTTAAAAATAGTCAGATTGTAAATCGCCAAATCTTGCTTGCCAAGTGACACATCTTTATAATAAGTAACATTTACAAACAGTTAGGTTGATATTCACCGATGCTTGCATGTCCAAGGGCACATTTCATTTATTTATAATACTTAAAAATATTTAAGCTCATAATCAGCTCTGCTTGCTTTTTAAATAGTAACTTTTAAAAATAAATAATATTAAAAAACTATTAGATTAATAAATCGTTAATGTTTGATTACCTAATAATGGATTTTTTTTCATTTATTTTGCTTAAGACTAGTTGGGGTACTAATCGCAAATATTTTCTTGTCTATAGGTACATTTTATCAGTAATCAATACAAAAAAACCAAGGATACTAGATGCTAGTGTTTTCTTGTTCCAGCAACTTGTAAAACTTTTATACATTGTATTTAACGCGATAACTAAAGATGATTTATGTCAGTGTCTCACTATTCCTAATCAGTCATTGTTACTTTCATATTTTGACACCGTATTCGTAGATGTAACCCTAATAACTTTTTCATGATTTTTAAAGTATTAGATCAAACTTATCGTTTTCATGGCAACTATTTCTAATTTTTCGAATTTGACACCAGATTTGTTATCCGTAAACCAAAAATTTCTGTACATACATTTTTAAAATTAGACAAAAATTTTTCACTTTAACGTTTACCATTTTTAATTTATCATTTTGTGTTTTCCTGGGTTAACAGAAAATTTGCAGGCAGTGGCCCGAATAATTTATATACATATTTTTAACGACTCGCCCTTACTGGTTCGTTTTCAATGGATGCACTCATGTATTCTCATAGCAAACAAATGTTGTACAAATCACTGCTTAGCTACTTTTCCTGTTATAAAAATTAAAAAAAAAGTTTTTCTTAAGAAATCAACGCCTTTATCTAAGTTAAGCCTTACGCTGAGCAAGAAAATTAATTATTCTAATTTGGCACAATGGACATGTGTACTGTTTATAAAGAACATTATTTTAAACTAAAATTTTTCGATAAAAGCAGTAAAAGCTCATTTTTTGCAGGTATATTTCTTATGGATCTGTCCATCTCATAAGCATTTCGAATGGTTTATTGATGTTTTAAGAGATGTCGAAAGAAAAGATGTTACAGATGTTCTTGAAATTCATATATTCATTACACAATTTTTTCACAAGTTTGATTTGCGGACAACAATGCTTGTAAGTCAAATGTATAATTATCTGACTCCCTAGTGGTTTGCCTATTCTTGCAGACACATTTATAACCTTACCTATTTTTGTTTATTTTCAGTATATTTGTGAAAATCATTTTCATAGAGTATCAAAAACTAGTATATTTACAGGTTTAAAGGCAATCAATCATTTTGGAAGGCCAGATATGACCTCATTTTTAAAATTTGTACAGAAAAAGCACAGCTATGTAAGTACGTTTCTGCAGTTACTAGAAGTACTACACATTTGTGTTATACTTGGTTTGTAAACAATTTTAGATAAGAGTTAAGGGCGTTCCGTAAATTAGCAGAGATTCTGNATGATGATGATGATGATGATGATGATGATGATGATGATGATGATGATGATGATGATGATGATGATGATGATGATGACGACGATGACGACGACGACGACGACGACGACGACGACGACGACGACGACGACGACGACGATGACGACGACGATGAAAACGTACTTTTCATTGATGATGCACCAAAGTTAATTATATCTCTGACTAGTAATTGTGGCATTTCTTCATTTTCAGAACTATCAGGTTTTATTCCGATGGTTAATGTATTTGTATTACTACCATATGATGTTAAGACTAATGATTCAGAAAAACTTACTTTTAATGAGCTAGAATATTTGCATGTAATTTCAGTGACATTTTCTAATATACTCGACGGAGATTCAATTGATATATGTGGTTGTGGAAATGTTTTCACTCAAATCCTTTGAGCAATTACAGTATGATTTTACTTTTACCGTTTTTAATTTGTTTTTTAACCAAGGGGTCATCCAGGACCCCTGGACAATTTAGATACATTTGCTCCTGATATAGTCATGTTTCTTTATTTTGTTACTTCCACTGTTTCCTTCAAGATAGTTGGCAGTGCTTTTGGTTTAATAGTCATTGAATTGGATGTTCTTATAATTTTTTTTCTGACTTTGTAATTTTGTTTTCCTTTTTCCTCTATTTTTTTTGACCAATGATTACATTTCTTAGTAATAATATTCCATTCCTTGTATTGATTTTTGCACATATAAATGGTCCTAACGAATTTTCATCTCCTGCGTTAGCATTAGGATTAGGTTTTTCTGGCTTGTATTTAAAAGTGTATTCATCATTAGTGAATTTAAACAACCATTGCATTAAACGCTGCCCTGTGTCTTTCCTTATGTGCATTTTATTTAATGACTCATGATTAGCTACTCAAACAAAGTTGTTTCCTATTGTAAACAAACAGAAATAATGCATTGCAAATGGTGCAGCTTAGCATTGCTTTTTAGTCGTAGAATAATTTATTTAGGCTTTATTTAGAGTTTTTTAAAGATAGGCAACAGCATGGTCGAACCCATCTTTTTCTTGACTCAGTACCGTTTTCAATGCGAAGTGAGATGCAACTATTTTTAACTTAAATGATTTACTTCAGTCAAAAAAAATGTAAAATAGGTTCTTGACATAGACGGTCTCTTAATTGTTTAACACTCTTTTGCACTTTGGTCCATTCAAGTTTTCTCTCGTTTAAAAAAATTAAATAACGGCTTAGATAGTTTTAAAAAATCTTAATAAAATGTTTATAGTTTTTTGCTAGTCCTAAGAGTCGTCTTATATTTCTTATGGTTTTTGGTTCAGGAAATTCTTTAATATCTCGTATCGTTTTAGGGTCTGGTTCAATTTTTCATTTACTTACTATATACTCAAGAAACATTACTTCTTTTCGCAAAGCTTCAACTTTTTTCGACTGGAGTACCATAATTACAGATCTTAACTAGTCAAAATGTAATCTCACTTTACAGTCATCAATTACTAGATCTTCTGTGTACATAACAGTTTTATCTAAATACACAAACATTGCAACATTTAATAAATCTCTTAATATGAGATCTCCTAGTCGTTTAAACGTGGCAAGCTTATTTTTTAAGCCTTTAGGCATTCGTCTGTATTGGTAGTGTCCATGAAGTGTCGTGAGTGCTATCGTATATTTATTATGTTCAGCGATAAGAATTTTTGGAAATCCACTTGCCAAATCAAAAACTGAGAAATATATGGATCCACCTCACTGGTTTATAATATGTGTGATGTTGAGCACTGAATATGCATTACCAATGGTCTTTTTATTAGGTTCTCGGAAATCAATTACTATTCTTCATTCTGGATCTCCATGGTTATCAGATTTTTTTGGAACAATCTAGAGCAATGAATTATACAGTGATGACGAAGGCTGTATTATTTTATCACTAAATTTTTTTACTACGTGCTTTTTTAAAACTTTTTTATCTACTGGTGGGTGACGATATTGTTAGCTGTTAATAAGGATATTCTTTTCTGTCGGGATTGCATGTGCAACA